CCCCGCTTATCTGGTCATACTCTTCTCTTCAAACCAATAAAACTAACTTTTTATAGAAAAATAAATGTCATAGACTTTCTTTGCCTATTAGGGAACTCACCTCTTCGATCATTTGACCTGTGTATTTCTTGGAACCCATGACCGCGACAGTGTTCTCTGCACTGCCATCCTTCTTGACCCCCAGTTCTATTTCTAACCGTGCTAATCCTTTGGTGCTCTGCACACCACCATATTTCCTGTTCTCCAGGTCTATATCTACTAGTACTAAACCTTTTTCATTTCCGATCGCGATCCTACAATAAATTAACATGTTGCTTATTACACTGAGTTTTATACTGGAGATAATTGATGCAGAGGCTTGATGTAGAACTCATGTTTTCTAAAATATGATTTTTGACATTGAAAGAAACAGGGCCAAACAAAGAACTAACGATTGTGCACATTAAACTATCTGTTCAGGTGGTTCCCGAAAAAACATAGATTTTTTAGGTTTGACCATGAATATATAGTGACTCAAATGGAATTTACCCTTTTTAAACAAAAAAGCAGTTTATGTGAAAAATAATATAAAATATAGGGACTCAAATAAATTTTTCATAGAAGTCATTTTGGGATATCTAGTACTAAATGTTAATGAAGTATATTAAAAACAGAAGAGGTATACAAAATTCATCTATGTCGATACGAGGTGGAGTACATACTCCCCTGAGTGTAGAACTATAATAAACATCTACACCACCAATTTGATTCCATTTTTAGCATACTTTCCTACTCACTTATTTTGTTAAAAAGCAAAGCGGTACAATGAAGACCATGTTATTATCATAAAAGACCAATATTGTTACACACAGGTTCTATATATAAAGATATGTGTAATAATTGAATGACTATTCATGCAAACAATAAGTCTAATAAGGTTAGAACTCCATTGGTATCAAAAGATTGCAAGCCTTCAAAGGACTATGACAAGCGGTACTCACAGGAGCAAACCTCAGAATTAAACATACTAAAAAGTGAAAACTACGCACTACTGTATTTGCAGCCTAGTTCATTTTCATTTGCACTTACAAGATTAGGGAGTACATTACACAAACTACCACAATTGGGGCTAGCATAACAGATTGGTAGCACATCATTTTTTTCTTTCAAATCACTACCGCTTATCGAGCATGGTGTTACATATCACATTGTGTTGGGATATCATCCTCATGTGGGCTATAAGGAGATGGACATTTTAAGCCTTTTAGACAGCCCAAAGAGGTGCAGAAGCCCACTACCCATTGGGTTATAACATAGGGTCATTTTGGACTTTTCATGTGGGTGGATGGGGATGCTTTACCCTCCATCCAGCAGCCACCACCAAGAGGGACAAAAATGAGTTCATCCTTCAAGGGAGAAGAAGAGAGAAAACCAAGAGGGAAAGGGAGAGGAAGGTTGAAGGAAGAAGCTAAGGGACCTCCTTCCCAAGGTTGTGATGGTCCAGATCCACTACCTTGTCTCCTTCAAGTTTCAGTGCACCATCTTTCTTGAGGTAGTTCCAATCCCTTGCTCTTGAGCCCAAATCTTGTTGAGTTCATTCAAGATTCAGAAATCTTGATGTATGACATCCTCTAGTGCTATCTTGAGAAGAACTTGTTGTATCCCACATTTGATAATAGTGGAAGAGGATTTGGGTGGCTTGGTCCCATGGTTTTTCCCCTCAAGTTGATGGGTTTTCGACATACAATTCTGGTGTCTTTGTGATTGATCCTTGTTGCTGAAATTCGGGGTTGAGAGCACATAGGACTTGTCCCAGCTGCTTGTTGAAATCAGCTAGTACATGTCCTACCTGGCTGCTGGTTCCACCCAGGACATGTCCTAGGTTCAAGCTGAACCTAGTATCTTCATATATGATTGATGCATATGTTTCCTTCCATGCTAAGAAACGATCCTTGAGTTAGCATGAAGTGGTGCTTAGATTACCTTGTTTCCACTGCAGTTTTTCAGTTCACCACAAGTGCATTTGTCTACTAATTCCAAACAGAGTGGTATCAGAACCTTGGTTTCTTAGGAGGTTGCTTATCCCAGTTGTTTGATTGTTCCTGGAAGTGATGTTCACAATTGCTTTGGAAGAAAACACTACTACAAGTGGAATGATAAAATTTGATTCTTCCTATTACTCATTATGGAAGTCCATGATGGAAGACATCCTTTATTGCAAAGATTTGTATGAGCCAATCGTGAAAGACAAGATACCCACAGGTGTCACGGAAGAAGAATGGAGAGTGTTGCATAGGAAGGCGATAGGTATGATCCGGTTGTACATCAACCACATTATATTACACCATGTTGCAAATGACACAAATGCGTATGAGATGTGGCAGAAGTTGGAGCCTATGTATGAGAGGAAGACATCTATGAACAAGGACACGGTGATCAAAAGAGTTGCAAAGCTTGAGTACCGAGATGGCACAAATGTTATCGATCACTTGAATGTCTTCCAGTGCCATATAAATCAACTTTCAGCCATGAAAATCAAGTTTGAGGATGAGGTGCAATCATTGTTGTTGTTGAGTTCCATGCCTAATAGTTGGAACAAACTTAGCAATTCAGCTCTGGATGGGAAGCTGACTTTGGAGATGGTGAAGAACAACATGCTGATTGAATAAGTCGGAAAGAAGGAAAAGGGTGATGCCTCTTCTTCTGATGCATATGTGGCTGAAACCCATGGGAACAATTAGTACCATGGACGTGGTCACACCAGATTTCAATAAGGTGAAAGAAAATCCAGGGGGAGATCAAAGAGAATCAGAGAAAAGATATTACTTTCTTTCATTGTGGCAATCTGGAACACATAAAGAGCGAGTGTAGTAAATACAAGAGAGAGCTTGCAAATGGAAACTTACAAAGTAAATCAAGCAAAAGCTGTAGTAGATAAGAACTATCTAATCATTGAAGATGATGAATACTATAGTGCTGTTCGTGATGATGCCATGAGTTGGGTTGTGGATTCAGTTGCGTCCTTCCACATCACATCACACAAGGATTATTTCACATCTTACAGTAGTGGTGTTACTTCCCAAGTGAGGATGGGAAATAGTGGTACGTCAACAATTATTGGCACTGACTCTATATGCATTGAAACAAACACATATTGCAGAGTGATGCTGGATGATGTGAGGCATGCTCCCGACATAAGGCTGAATTGTTGTAAGTGGGCAAGCTTGATAACTTCAAACACTCTAGTTATTTTTGGTGAAGGAAAGTGGAAGCTCAGCAATGGCTCTTTGAATGTGGGTCGAGAAAGTAGGCAAGGTATTCTCATTGTGACTAAAACCAAGTTGTGCAATGAGGTATTGAAGATTGTTGAGAAAGTCACTTTGGTTGAATTGTGGCACAAGAGGTTTGGGCATATGAGTGAGAAGGGCATGCACGCTCTTGCTCGCATGGAGTTACTGCCTGATTTGAAAGGTATATCCTTGAAACCCTGTGCACATTGTTTTGTTGGTAAACAACATAGGGTTGCATTTCGTACACTCCTCCACATCATGCAAAAAATGTTCTTGGTGTTGTGCACACTGATGTTTGCTCCATGTCAAAAAAATCCCATGGTGGGGCATTATACTTTGTGACTTTTATTGATGACCATTCCAGAAATGTTTTTGTTTATGTGCTGAAACACAAATACCAGACGCTTAAAGCCTTCAAGGAGTTCAATGCCAAAGTTGAGAGAGAAACTGGCAGAAAATTGAAGTGCGTAAGATCTGACAATGGTGATGAATACCGACGTCCCCTTGAAAGGTATTGCAGAAGGTTTGGCATAAGGCTTGAGAAGAGTCCACCAAAGACACATTGGCTCAATGGTCCTGCAGATAGATGAACATGACACTCACAGAGAGGGTTACAACTATGCTCCCTCAAGCTCATTTACCAAATTCTTTTTGGGCTGAAGGATTGATGGAATGTTATGTATGTGGTTAACCTATCTCCCTCAGTTCCATATTACTCACAGAGTTTGGTCAGGGAAGGAGGTTTCATACAAGCATTTGAAGGTCGTTGGTTGCAGGGAATTTGTACATGTTCCAAGGAAGGAGAGATCCAATCTTGATAGCAAGACAAAGCAGTCCATCTAACTCAGCCAACAAAGTGAAGAGTTTGGCTATAGGTTATGGGATCCAGCCAATAGGAAGATTGTGACAAGCCGAGATGTGGTGTTCATTGAAGATGAAACAATAAAAGATATTGGGAAATCAGAGACGCCAATGACCAACACACCTCCGGTTGACATGGATCCAATCCGTCCTCCTCTCGTGCATGACAATCACGCGGGAGATGATGACACTGGAGACAGTGGAGATGCAACTGATCAAGGTAGTACAAGTCAAAGTGACGAGCAGCCATCAAGTGATGATGATGAAGAAGAAGTTGGTAATGATGATGGCAACAAAAATCCACCTGATTCACCACCAGTGTAGCAACAAATAAGAAGTGAAAGAGGTCACACTCCTTCTAAGTATCTAGCGCATCAATATGTGTTGATGACGGATGCATGTGAGCCCTCATGCTATGAGGTGGCAATGTCTGATGAGAACAAGGATGAATGGTTAGAAGTCATGCAGGATGAGCTAAAATCCTTGTATGAGAATAATACTTTTGAGTTGGTAAATCTGCCAAAGGGCAAGAAAGCACTCAAGAACAAGTTGCGTATATAGAGTGAAGACTGAAGAAAAGACCTCACATCCAAGGTAAAAGGCTAGATTGGTTGTGAAAGGTTTCAGTCAGAAAAAGGGCATCAATTATGATGAGATATTCTCTCAGGTGCTCAAGATGTCTTCGATCCGAGTTGTGCTTGGCATGGCTGCCACCATGGACTTGGAAATTGAACAAATTTATGTGAAGATTACATTCTTGGTGGTGACCTAGAGGAGGAGATATACATGGAGTAGCCAAAGGGATTCATGGTTGCAGGCAAGGATCACTTAGTTTGCAAATTGAAGAAGAGCTTGTATGTATTAAAACAAGCTCCTCGAGAGTGGTGCAAGAAGTTTGAGTCTTTTATGACTAGGCTTGGTCACCATAAAGCACAACTTGATCATTGTGTCTTTATGAAGAGGTACATCAAGGGTGACTTCATTATTCTCTTGTTGTACGTTGATGATA